CGAGCTTACCTCATCCCACACCTACAGGATACCTAATTTCATCGCAGCACCTATAGTTCTCTGCTTTCCTTCGTTGCTTTTGGCACGATTTAAATAGCTCCCATAAAATACCAGTAATCTGACCGAAATGTATTACATTTCCTTTAAAACTTGAACTGAACCTTTGGCTATGCCTACTTCTGCCTTTCTGCTTTTTCTTATGGGGACATCCTTAGCAGTCTGATGACAACTTAGTTCCGCCAGGTTACAAAATATTTCGAAGAGACCGGCCAACTAGAGGTGGGGGTGTTGCAGTGATTTTAAAAAACAGTATCAAAGCATCCCTTCTAGCGCAATCGCCAGATACTGAAAGCCTATGTTTAAGGGTTTCTTTCGGAAACAAAGTGATCATTGTTATCGCTGTGTACAGACCGCCTGATTCTGGGCCCGATTTTCTTGTAAATTTGCGATCTCATTTGGCCTCTTTCAGTAAAAATAAGCTTTTCATCCTAGGGGATTTTAATCTGCCCAACTTTGATTGGGACCGCTTGAAAACAAGACCCGATTCTTGTCACAGGGACGATATTCTCGACATTATGTTTTCACACAACCTTGTTCAAATAGTTCAGCAACCAACACGAGTTTGTGGCAATTCATCCTCTCTACTTGACCTTGTTTTCCTGCCCAGATCTTTCGAAAAGTACCACGTGTCTGTGAAACACGGTTTCTCAGATCACAAAATTGTTTTTGCATCCATTTCCCTTCATTACAAAAATGCAAAAAGTTGCCCAGCTCTCAAAAAAGTGAAAGACTTTGCGAAAGCTAATGACACTGCAATTACTGAGTATTTAGAAAATACCTGGCCAAATTTCAATGATCACGATGTTGAAGTTCTTTGGAATAAATTTAAAAATATGTGTTTATTCTGTTTGCGAAACTTCGTACCCGATAAAGTTAAGAAGACCGCTAAATATACGCCCTGGATATCTAGATCTATAATTCACCTTAAACGCAAAGCCAAGCGCTTGCGAAAAAAACGTACAGCGCCTCAACAACTCGCCGAAATTCGTGCTACCCTTTTCAATGCTATTACTCGTGCCAAAAATTTCTACTTTAACACTACTTTACCGAACTTCCTAAGAGAGGAACCACATAAATTCTGGAACTTTAGTAGACAGCGCAATGAAAACATAACTGAAATTTCAGTCGACGGATCTAAATTGACTAATCCTCGAGCAATCGCGAATCACTTCAATTTGTTTTTCCATAGCGTATTTTCGCAGTCTCAGTTGAAACAGAGTATTTCAATAGCTTCATACCCTGATGTCAATATTGTTTCGCACAATGGTGTCTTAAATATGTTACTTCGATTAAAAAACAAATCGACGCCAGGGCCCGATTGCATCCCGAACGCATTTCTCCGTCGTTATGCTGAAACCTTGACGAAATTTCTTGTACTCATTTTTGAATTTTCTCTTCGTACGGCCACGCTACCTTCCGATTATAAAATAGCCCGTATCGTTCCTATTCCCAAAAAAGGCGACCCACTCTTAATTCCCAGCTACAGACCCATATCTATGTTATCATCCGCCTGTAAGTTACTTGAACACGTTGTTTCTACGTTCATTACACAATTTTTAGATACCCATCAAATCCTTTCTCCATTTCAACACGGGTTTCGCAAGGGATTTTCGACCGTCACTCAACTACTTACAGTTGTTCACCACGCTTCTTCAGTTCTTGATAAGGGGGTACAGGTTGACCTCATACTCTTAGATTTTAGTAAGGCCTTCGATCGCGTATCGCACGACAAATTAATCGATAAATTAGTTCAAATCGGGCTTCCAGCGTTCATCGTCTCTTGGCTGACTGCCTATTTAAGTAACCGTAGACAGTACGTCGACATTAATGGAAGCACTTCTGACGCTCTCCCTGTTACGTCTGGCGTACCGCAGGGAAGTGTGCTAGGCCCTTTACTTTTCCTTATTTTTTGTAATGACATTGTTAACGTTATAAACAGTCCGGTCCAAATACGTCTTTTTGCAGATGACTGTATACTGTTTAATGAAATTAATAGCATCGAGGACCAACTTGCGTTAAACTCGGCGTTAGAAAACGTTGCTTCTTGGAGTAAAACTACAAACATGCAATTAAACCATGACAAAACAGTTTACCTCCGAATGACTAGAAAGAAACACCCCCTTGAATTCTCTTATTGTACCTGTGACCAACCGCTTAAGCAAGTAGATGAACACAAATATCTTGGCGTAACTTTAACCAGTACCTTAAGTTGGAACTCTCACATAACTAACATATGCGCTGCCGCTTTCCGTAAACTTTGTTTATTACGACACAAACTCAAAACCGCTCCCTCTGAGGTTAAATACTTAGCATATACTTCTATAGTTAGACCTAAACTTGAATATGCCTGCGTTATTTGGGATCCTCACACTAAAACCAATATCGAAATCCTCGAAAGAATTCAAAGAAGGGCCGTCCGCTTTATTTATGGTATGTACGGTCCAACAGACTCCGTTTCTGCCCAGATGGAACGACATGGTATCCCAACATCAGAATCACGACGTAAATCATTTAGGCTAAAATACTGCACCAAATGGTAAACCGGAAGCTCTTATTTGATCACAGCCCCTACATTAGTCGCCTGGAAACACGGCGCGGTCGTCATTCACACTCCCTTGCCTTAACTCCGTTTTTCTCCAAAACTAATCTCTTAAAATTTTCGTTTTTCCCGCGCACAATCTGTGAGTGGAACAATTTACTGTTTGCCGCCCTGCTATCGACAGATTCTATTGACGCACATGTTTTCCTGAGGATGTAAGAATGTTTTGCAGTTTTTCTTTCTCTTACTTTCAGTGCCTTGTTGTTTCCCTTTGATTCCCTTTGCGATTCACACATTACCACCTAAATCATCGCTGTTACAATAAGTTTGGTTGCATTGTTGTATGTGTGTGATGATTGAATTATTGTATGCTGTGTGATGTTTGGCTTGATTGCCTTACTGCCTGTACCATTCCTGCTTGGGCTCCATGCCTGCAGTATCTTGTAAATAAATAAATAAAATAAATAAAATAAATACTGATATAGACCGGCGGTGTCAGCGTCTCACGTAGGCGGTGTCAACTCAAGTGACGCTAAATATCCCCCCCCCCCCATAGGAAGATGTCACCGTATGACGTCATCATGATTTGACAGATTATCAAGATGTGTGACGTCACCATGAAGTCCCAATGACGTAACATAACCCGACTTCTCAGGATGACGCCATCACGGGCATCGTCGCTTTAGCAAAGGGCACGGAGGCACTGAAAAATTCACATGAAGAAAGCTGCCTTGCCTCCGACACTGGCGACAGTGGAGAACCAGGCTGAGTGCACAAAGCTCTCATTGGAAGCGGTGGAGGATCAACGCATCGACTGAGAAGCAAGAGAGGATGGCTCTCAATGGCTCTCACCTTCGAGTCGACTTAGGTGAATGCACTAGGGAGCAGGTGAGTTTTGTAACATGAAAACGTTTTATGCCGCGTTCACCAAGATTTCAGTGACGTATTTCCGTCATATAAATGACGTATAAAAACGTACACGATCAAAGAGAAAAGAAAAAAAAAAGATTTCGGTCAATGGGAGGGGAACCCACGACCTCTTCGTCTGCCGCAGCAGAAGCCTTGCACGCTGGCCACTGCGCCAAGATCTTTTTTTTTTTCTTGCCACTGCGTCATGATCACATACTGTGAAGGTCGTACAAACGCGCCTGTTATAGCTAACTGCCCGCTAGGAGTGCTGTTGGCTGGCGGGGTCGCAATTGATGAAGACGGCGACTTCCGCGATTAGCATCTTCAAAGCATCGTTGCAATGCGTCCATATCATTCGACGCATTTTTAGTAGGAAAAATACAATTTGCCGATGCTTTAAAGAACGGCAGATGGCGACCTCAGCGTAAGCGTCAGCTTATATAGCTCAAAGTCTTAGCCTAGTCCCACACGAGAAATAGCTATACTGGAGTGTATTACTACCTATACGACGAGAGAGAGAGAGAGATTGAGTAAATGAAAAGATGCAACTTCTGCAGCCCTAGTTGGGATCACGGCTCAGCGCTTGTAGGGGAACGGGGTGAAGGTTTAAAAGCTGTAGAAAAGAGGAGAATAATGGCATCCATGACCAAGGACGCGGTAGAACGAAGAACCGCCTTCAAGATCTAAGTGTAGTGTGCCTGTCATGGCTTTAACACCACGTCCGCCTTTTACGCTCGCACCAAGAAAAAATCCGGCAGCCCGACAAGAGCGACATGGCGCGTGTTGAATTTCCCTCGAGTCGAGCTGTGGTGTTCCGTATGCCGTGAGTACGCGAGCTTAGCTCTGCGGACAATCAGTGACGCTCTCCCAGCTGTCACGCCGCTGTCTCTGGTTCCACTTTCACCGAAAACTACCACAGCTACACGAAATTTCTGTTTAATCATTTAGTCTTTGAGCATAGGTTTGTGTTACCTGCTTGAAGATGTGTGTGCATATGCTACCACATATAGTTATGACAACAAGGACTTGTGGCACGTCCTAAGCAGAAAGCCTTAATCGACATTATACCCTAGTTGTAAATAGTTATTTTTTCAAGTTCACTTGGTCATTACATACTTCTCTTAATATTTTTTAAACATTTTTGTTCTGTCTTCTTAAACCTTTTAGTTCTTTTCCCCATGCCTGTACAGCAAACCAGCAATTTATACACGCTGGCAAAAATCTGCTTTTATGATAAAGACTCTTTCTTTCGAGATGTACTACCAAGCGCCAACGTGAGTGTATCCACGTTATACAAAGAATGATATATCGAAATCTGTCTTATATCAGTGTGATGTAAGCATTTAACTACATCACTGAAGACACGTTTTACTTTCGTGTGATAACCGATCCCTATGAAGGAGGGATCAAACATGCTTTTTTGTTTTTCGTTTTTGATGCCAACAGTGCAACCAAGCGAATGGCGCACTATTCTCACACGACCTTGACTTACCCGACGATCGACGAGTTGTACTTGTGCTCAGCTTTGTGATTGACGACGAGACCATGTCATCGGCGATGAACACAGATGGCTTCGTCGGAGAGAACTTGCCCTCAGCGTCGGCGCGCTTCCGGCAGGTAGACCTTTTCATGTTGTCGGGATACTGCTGGAGGTACAAAATCACGGTTGTCACGTTCGCCAGTCCACTACCCCCGAAGAACGTCCGCTAAGTCTCTACTAGACTACAAAGTTACCTATTGAAACATCGCATGCACATGACCTGCGCATGCTCAAACGGGACCACAGCTGAACCATAGGTATTTTTGCATGCAGAGTGTCCATCAAATATCGATTAAAAGCAGCACCATGAGAAGTTTTATAGAAAATAAAAACCAACAAAAACAAATAAGCAAATGATTCCGTAAATCAAAGCAGTGACGCTACAGTCGAATAGGTACTGCAACGCAGATTTGTCAAATCATGAAAATGCTATCTGCGTTTATGTAAGGATACTAATATTAATGATATTGCCATGATTTCCGAAGCAGTTGGTCCACCACGTCCACAAAAGTAAGATTTCGATACGGGTGCGTTTTTCGACAAAGCACGACTTTCAACTTTTAGCAGAGTTGGCCCATGGACACTGCTTTCTGAAGTAGGCCCCACGTCACGCGTCGTCTATCAACGTTATTATTTCAGAATCCCGAACTGTAACAGACTAAGCTATCCTGAACAGTTCAATTCTAAGGTTATTTTATCGATAAGACAAATACACAACACTTAAAGCAGCACTAAGTTATTCACTCACAATTATGCTCTGATTGGTCAAGCTACAGCGCATCTCGTTGTGAAACAGAGACAGCAAGGATGTTTAAAGTAGTCTGCAGAGAAACAATGAATCAACTTCGACTGATAAATTTGTACACCGAGAACCCTAATGATATTAATTTAACCATCATATTCTCCCTATAAGAGGACAAAAATCAAGGCCGAATTTTTATTTTTAAATTTTGCACCGAAATCCCCACGCGTGATATCACGTGCTTCAAATGTATTTTTTATATTTTAACACGAAAGTGTTTTATGCCGGGGTCCACCACGGCTCCGCTGACGTTTTTCCGTAACGCAAGTGATTCTGAAAAATAAAAACGTCGGTGATCACCTGATATAAACGACTTTCCGCAGCGGCGCCTGCGCGATGCCATGTTTGATCCCGTGACCATGAACTGGCCTTCTCCCAGCCCCTTGCCCAAGCGAATGCATTGGACCAGTGAAGCGGCCGTGGCAGTAAGCGCCGGTGTCTTGGTTTATAAGCCAACATGGCGGCACCCGTGAAGACGTGACCACCCGCTTCGATCCAAACTCACGCTTTCTACTCGCCTACCGTCGTCCAAGCAATAAATAAATGGAGAAATCAGCTACCGCTTCGTCTCATCTCACGCTGGGGACAAGACATCAGGTGTGTACTGTCCTTATGAAGAAGATTGGCTGTGTTGGTTTAGCCATGTTGAGCAGTGCTGCAGAAAGTCACATCAGAAAAATGGTCATGTTAAGGAGAAGTCTATAGTGTTGTGGCACTATCTGAATCTGAACGAGCAAACAAGTGGCGGAAAATTGTATATAGAAATCAGTATAAAACGAAAGTGAAACGTCTCTTTAAAGAGGTAGTTGAGCGTTTATTGTTCATTGTTTCAGCAACAGAAACAAATTGTAGTCACGCTAAAAACGTCAAGCAGCTCGATACTTGCAGCGCACACCTCAAAAAAAAAAAAAAAAACACGCACGAAAATAGCATACACTGGAGGAGCGCAGACTAACACCGTCACGATTCTTCCTGCGTCGTGCGTGAGCAGCGTGCTCGTTTCGTAAACGCAGCCGTGGCCGAGTGCGAAGTGACCTTCGTCCTCTCCCGAATTGCGACGTCTGACAAACGCCCGAGCATGAGAGACCACGCTCCGTGGGACCATCTGGGTGGCGCTTCGTGGAGGCGGCGACCTTGAGAGCACGTCGAACGTGAGACCGTCGCGCCATCTCGCCATTAATAACGAAAACGCGATTAGGTTTTGAAGCTCTAAGGACTACCAAACGGTGTATGGTGTATATATTTTTCAACATCACTTCCGCGGCAGAAGTACGTCAGCTAGCCGTGGTGGACCCCGGCATAAAACACTTTTGTGTTAATATATACTAAGAAATTGCAAAGAAAAAAAAAACAGAATTCAAGCATTTGTTGCACGGAATCGTACCAGCAACCTCTCGATTCCCAGAGCGAGGCGCTAACCACTTCGCCACGAAGCGTACGTTGCCTGAAATGTTAACAAGCCATTTATATACACTTTACACCGTTTTGCAGTCCTCAGAGCTTCGAAACTTTAGCGCGTTTTCGTTAACAGTGGTAAGGTGGCGTGACGGACTCACGTTGGGCTCGCTCTAAAGGTCGTCACCTGCACGAAGCGTGGTTTCTCCTGCGCGAGCATTTATCAGACTCGTAATTCGGGAGAGGACGAAGGTCACTTTGTACGCTGCCGCGGCCACGTGCACAAAAAGAGCGCGCTGTTGACACACGACGCAGAAATAATTCGGACAGTTGTTCACGCTTGTCCTGTGTACACTTGTGCGCTCGTTTCGTGCGTCTTTTTGAACAGCGTGCTTTGAGCGTCGAGCTGTGACAGTTGTTAGACCACGCTCGTCTTGTGTACGCTAATTTTGTGCGTACTTTCTGCTTGAGGTGTGCGCTGCAAGTTTCGAGCTACTTGCCGTTCTCAAGATTATTTTTCAATTTGTGCCTGTTGCTGAAACAATGTACAATGAAGGCTAAACGACCCCTGTAAAAATATGTTTCACTTTCGTGTTATACCGAATTTTATACAGGGGGATTAGCCACGTTTTTTGAGTCTATTGGCTCAAATAAATTTCTGGAACCTAATATGTCATATCTATGGCCCCTTAGCTCACAGTTCAATGTGTGTGATTTTTTACCGATTAGCAACTGCGTATGATCAGAGTCCTTCAATGCTTTTTTGGTCATGAAACTCCTCCGTAACGCTATGGGTAGAGCTTGCTATGTCACTGCAGTGGCCATGAGGCGGCGCCACGAGCGTGCAGAGGGCATTGAGTAGAGCTTCGCTGCATAGGGAGAGCTGAGTACTCGATGACATTGGTCGAATCGGCATTCAGTTTTCCGCATCCCCCCCCCCCCCCCACACACACACACACATTTGTGCGACTGATGGCTGTCGGAACTTCGTGTTGTACATGAGCCATGATGCCAAAGACTCGCTGTGTGCGGCGTTGTCACTCCGGCAACAGAGGTGCGAGTGAAAAGTTGTTGTTCAGTTTGACGAGGGGCGGTGATGAAAAGGACGAATGGAAACGTTCAATACTGCGACAGGAAGTATAGATTTACCATCGATTCTGAAAACTTTATATTGTGCAAAAACATTTTGATGCCACCGACTTTGTTCGAACTGATGACCTTGTAATTAATGGAGAAGGTCCCTTTGTAACGCGAAAAGGCCAGTTGCAGGCCGTAGCTGCTTCTGTCGTAGCTTCCTAGTTTTTTTTATGCCTTAACAGTTTATCGGGTGTTTTGCATTCTTTTCTTGTTTGCAGTTGTTAAAAATTTTCTTTTTCTTTCTATGTATCAGCAAAACGTAATGAGATTTTTTAATGTACATTAGTTCATTCTGTCTTTTTTTTTTCATTAGCTTGCTGCCTTCATTTACTGGCCTTGCACAGAACTATTCTACACTAGAAACTGTCGTTCATAGCTATCCAATTTCTTATGTCATTTTCCAGTATTTTTTCTATTTCCTTTTCAATCGTAGCCTTCTTGTTTTGTTTGCTCTAAATTGGTGGCTAGACAGTGTAAAGTTCCTAAACTTATGCATTGAAATAATAAGCAATTATACAAAAGTGTGGACTTGGTGGACTCTGCTCTTTCTCAGCCGGGTACATTTGTGAGTACTTTGCTCCTGTTGCGTTTTTGACGTTCTGAATAATATGAAAAGCGCGACAGAGCCTTGCTAGTAAACACATGTGCTTAATTTCTCTGGGTCAGAGAAGCATGGCTTGCTATCATTCAATCGACTCTACCCTGGGAGCAGTCTTCATCAGTAATTTCGTTGCATCACTGTGCAGACGCAGTTCAAAGCAGTCAGACTAACACACGTTGTGATTTGTGAACGTGCCACCATACCCTACTGCCTTTGCTACGTGACGCAATGTAAAGTGCGACACAGTTTCGCTCATGCCATACTGTACGCGTAACATGCCGTTGTCAAATCAAGTTACACGTCGGAATTGATTAGTACGTGGCTGCAACCTTGGAGTTAAGGTTTGGCTATAGACCCTAGAACTTAGCCTGTGTCGCTGCACATGGTCGTTACCTTGTGAAAGATTCGTCATTCTTAATTTCAAGTGTTGCCAAATTTATGTGTGTTAGGCAGCAGCTTAGCTTTTATAAACTCGAAACACAGGGATGTAGAACATTTATTTTTTGAAGTGTGGTCGCGCACCGCGCCGTAGGTTGTCGCGGTTGACACTGGTTCAATTCTCACTGTGAGACTTCATTTTGCGAGTTGGTGGGTTTACACGGCTTGTGCAGTGACAGATGTTTAAGTAAATAATGTATGTCGGAATAAGTACTCGCATGCTCCACCTGAGGGGTAAGGAACCACACTGGAACAACATATATTCAGCGAATATTGCTGCATCCAACACGGATTTATCGCAGCCTTGATGTATTAAAAAAAAAAAACTCGCGTAAATAAGTTTTCACACGTGAATGAAACAGCTCTATTGTATGTCAGGCGAAGCATCAGTGGTAGTTGAAATAGTGTGGTTTGGTGCAAGATTAACCATTGCATCGAACCGGCAAAACATTCAGCCAAGAGCAACGTGCGCGCACGCATGCCCCCCCCCCCCCCCCCCCCCCCCCCGTTGACCGCAGCGACCCTAGCAGCGGCTTCCGTCCCTGCATGAAACTACAGGCAGAGTTTCATGAGGAGAAAAGCATTGAAGGACTCGGCTATGGCCTATTGAGACGTCCTCAAAATCTATGAAGTTACAGCATGTGGTGCAGGAATTTGAATGTTCTTTTCCCGCATTTTCTCACTTACCAAGGGTATTTTAGCGGTAATAAGGTGTTTTCGGTATATTTTTAAGTGAATTTGTGATTTACTAATTTGCAAAAAAATCATCTTTTTTTCCTTTGGTGTTTCTTTAACCCACCGGAGTTGCGCCTGTAGAGGGTTGCGTAACTAAACTGACCTACAGGCTTACTGGACATGGTGACCGCTTCTAGATAGAGGAAAAAAAAACGTGTAATTACATTCAAATGCATGTTACCGAACCTCAGGCAGCCAGAATGAAAACAGAAGTTTTTTTTCTTTATGCCACCTTTCATGATAATGCCGTGGTTTTAGGAAGTGAGACCCGAGGTAAATAGCCTACTTGTTTCTGTGGAATCATTCGGGTACAGTAAAACCAATTAAGCTCACGCCTATGAATTCATAACTAACCTGTCCCATTTTGTGACAACCAGTTCCGCACGACTTTTTGTAATTGATGTCAAGAGTTTGGCGAAATCTCTCCTGGCCGGGGAAAGTCATGAGGGGAGAAAATCTCAGTGCTGACTAAAGTAAAAATATATTCTTAGAAAAGTGTTGTGGCTCCCACATGGTAGCCGTGTTCTGAATTGGGGGCCGAACCGTCTTTATAAGAATATATTTCAACTTTGGTAAGCACCGTGTTTCCTTCATCCACTTCTTGTAAGTGTTGATAGGGCTGTCCATAAGAAAACACGATCAGCGATGTTTTTGGAGTTCGTAACTTTTTATGCAATTTCGTTACTTTTAAACAACCAGGCTTGTAAACAAAAGTGATTGAACTTCAAAGCAAAAATGCAATTAAATGCCGCTATTGAAAAGTATTCTACGCGTCTATATTCAGATGTTGAAACAAAATAATTACAAGGCTGCTATGAAACCAACAAAAAAGTAATCGAAACCACGACAATTGAAAACTGCTTTTAATTATGAATCTACTAAAACTATGTACGAAAAAGAAAATGGTAATGAACGGACTAATGAGTAGCGATCAATTTTTCAATGAAGCGATGATACATGAGCTATAACCGAAGCAGTAATAAACTGGGTATACCAGTACGGCGACATTTCAGCAAGCGTTTTTTCTTTTTCCTATCCACAATGACAAAGTTTCAACGTGAATACCTGTGCTTATAAGAGTCCTGGGCATGCATTCAATGACTAACGTGCGGAGCGACACGGCATTCATCTGAAATTCATGTTCCAAGCGGACAATTGAGCACAACCGCGATAGGCCCGCTTCGCGGCCACGTTTGTTGCCGGCGCGCTTTGGCATGCCTACCTGTCCAAGAAAGCGTACCGTTCTGCCTCGGTTATGCCGGTATTCCTGGTACAGAGAAGACACGCACAGCAAGCAGTACACCTGTTAAGAAATAAAGAGCAAAAATTAAGCACCGACCAAAGCTTCCAGGTTCTACTGAGCTGACAATCAAATAATCATCAACAAAAAACCCCAGAAAGCGGAAATTGAATGATTGAAAAATTCTTGAACACATTTTATTAATAGAAAAGATATCACTGAAGCACGAAGGGAAGTTGAAATAATAACTTCAATTATTATGCATAGTGAAAACATGCAAAATTGTGAGTGAAAACACACAACCACTTTTTAACATTGTCTCCTGGATATTTTCTAGTCCGTTGAATGCACGTTTGCCAGTGCATAATAAACGTCACCTTTGATTCCTGCAACGCATTCTTGACTTAAACAATCGACTAAATTAAGTCATGAACAAACGTACTATTATTGAGCCTGGCAATCATGAATATAACTGTATTTGCTAGAAAAACGAAAATAATCCCAAATTATGCAACAAGCGAATTGACGGGAAAAGAAGCCAAAATCCGCTTATCCTAAGCGGAAATAACAATTGTGGTGTAGACTAGCAAATGTTAACCATCTATAGTCGTTTACAACTTTAGAAGGCAGGGGCATCTCCTCCTCAAAGGCGGACGCACACAAGCCAGTCCCAATACGCATGTACTTCAGAGTGACGTGATGAGCCGGACGGCCGTTGACCCCACCTGCGGACAACGTTGCGAGAGCACGACCATTAGTCGCTCAAGTGATCGGCTGCCGCGCTTCAGCCGTCTGGGCGGGGCCTAAACGGGTGATGAGAGGAAGACGGGAACTAGAAGAGGCGAAGTACGAAGAAATAACAGACAGGACGAGCGCTAGACCTGTCTGTTATTTCTTCGTACTTCGCCCATCTTCTAGTTTGCGCTGTTTTAACCATTTACCATGTTTGACCAACTATATAGCCCAAGGAAACACACTTTGTAAGTTGTACCCGACCATATATAGTTCATGTTTCAAGGCTCGTTCACAATTTAGGCAGCGCGAAAAAAGCGGATGTGTAGAAAGCGGAGAGAGAGAGAGAGAAACGAGAAAAAAGGAAGGCAGGGAGGTTAACCAGATGCTAGTACCCGGTATGCTACCCTACACTGGGGTTGTGGAATAGGGGCTTGAAAGAGAAACGAAGAGTTAAAAAATAAATAAGAGAAAACACCGACACACACGCACACACAAAATCAGTCCACACAGAGGCGTTCCGACCGGCCAGTAGTTCGCAAGAAGCCCAGTAGCGCTTGCACGGCTTTCTCCTGTGACGATAAGTCATGACGATGGCGCAGTATACTTTCTTCTGACAGCGGCTGGTCATCTAACCTGTTTAGTTTATTGGAAAGTTGTTGTCTTTCCAGGTTGTATTTCTGGCAGTCACACAGGATATGTCGAATGGTTTCTTCATCTCCGCAGTGTGCACAGTCGGCGGTGTCGGCCATACCTATGCGGAACGCGTACGCACGGGTAAACGTGACTCCCAACCATAGTCTGCACAGAGCAGTAGCGTCACCTCATCGAATTTTTGTTGGAAGCTGTATGCTTAACGTTGGATCAAGGGATCATAATCTTGCATGCGTAAAGAGAGGCTCATTCCAAAGAGCCATGGAGCGTTGGCGAGCGAGCATGTGGAGCCTCCTAGCAGCGTCCGTCCTTGAGAGAGGTATTGACTGGTTGTTGTCTTCTGTATGGGCGGAACGGGCAGCTTGATCAGCTCGTTCGTTACCGATAATTTCACAGTGGCTTGGCAACCACTGAAATATAACGTGGTGCCCTTTCTCTGTTATATGGTGTAGCATTACTGCTGTTTCAAATACCAACTGCTCGTGTGGACCACGGCGTAGTTTTGACAGAAGTGACTGCAGTGCCACCTTGCAGTCGCAGAAAATCGTCCACCGTTGCGTGCTTTAGTCGTTAATGAAACGCAGCGCAGCGCAAAGCGCTGCAAGCTCTGCTGCCGTTGTTGTGGTTGCATGAGCTGTCCTGAATTTGATGGTTGCGGCGTGCGTTGGAATAACGACCGCCGCTGTTGAGCTGTTTGGCAGGACGGAGCCGTCGGTGTAGACGTGGGTGCAGTCTTGGTACTTCTCGTACAGCAGAAGTAAGGCCAGCTGCTTGAGGGCTGATATTGAGAAATCTCGTTTTTTCTGGATGCCTGGTATTGTCAGGTTGATGACTGCCTGTTTGAGGCACCATGGAGGAATCGAAGGTCTCGCCGTGGGCGTAAAATCAGTTGGTAGAGAGTCACCACGTGCAGTTATTGTTCGACAAAAGGAAGTATGAGGTCTATCCACTGGTAGAGAGGCTAGGTGGTGATGGGGAGTCCGGCCCACATGCCTTATGTGTGACCTCAAAGCTTCAATTTCAATATGGGTCTGCACGAGGTGGTCTTTGGCTATAGCTATAGTCGCCATTGTTGAGGCACCCTGAGGCAGACCTAGACATATTCGAAGCGCCTGTGCCTGAACGCTTTGTATCATGCGTCGACTTGTTTTGCTGGCGTTTGATAATGCAGGCAGACTGTATCGTAAAAAGCCGAGAAAAAGCACCTTGTACAGTCGTAACATAGCATTAGGCTGCATTCCCCAAGTCTTTCCAGCGAGAAACTTGAAAATATGGCATATGCCTGTCAATCACTTTTTCAAATACGACACATGAGGGCTCCATGATATGTCTCTGACGACTACGACACTATGTCAACTATGTCGACTATGACTATGACTATGACAGAAAGCGGAGGAATCCTCTTCGCCAAGCAGTTGAAATGGGCCGGAAACAAGGCTGTGCCATAACATAGCGGTGAGCCGGATCGTTCGGAACTCACATTTAGTGCTATTTGAATCTTTGCGCTTTGCCGCTGTCAGTCAAAACGCCATAGGGCGGTGGAGCTGATATAACTTTGGAGCAAACATATATATGGTTGACCCTGAAAGGGCACCACACCATGCACCACACCACCGGAGGTGGCTCGGGTGGACAAGCAGCGCCATGAGATGGCGACCCGTTCGCGAAAGCGCGGGATGTCCTCCTTCCTCGCCGCATGGTTCGGGTTTTCAGGCGAGGCAAGGCGCGCATTCGCGATCTCGCCGCTTTGAAAATCCACTTCGGCGCTTTGGTCGCTCCACTTCCATCGTGGAGCTTTCACTTTGCATTCAAAAAACGTCTGATGGGTCTAGTAGGCTGCTTAAGCTGTTTATTGGTGTTTAGGTTTTTTGTTGCGCCAGGGAGTGCGAACATAAGTTATGATCTTTACGAACTGGCAGACGCTGTCTTCGTGCTCATCTTACGCGGTGGCTTCGCTCTTAAAAGACGTGCGCCAATATGTCCGGCATGGGATGCACTAACTAAGATGGGTGAGTGAACAAGTACAGAAAGAGAGAGAGACAGAGAAAGAAATACATTAAAAGACATGTTGATATTGTTACGGGAGAATAACTTTACTTTATAAAACGAGGAATAAACTCGGTGGTGGACAAGATGGCGCCCAGTTGGCTCACAGATCTGACAACATCGTCTTTCTCTTTGTCTTCTTCGTCGTTCTCATCCTACCGTTACATGATTTCCCCGGCGGCTGGAGCACCGACCCGGTGCTAATCAGGAGGCACTGGAGTAATACGGTTTGAGTCGCGTAACATGCACTACGTCAGTGTGAGGGTGAAGGATGGCGGGGTCCGTAGGGGTGATTTCGTATGTGACGTCAGTTACTTGGCGTAAGATACGGTAGGGACCTGAATAGCGTGGGAGTAACTTCTCCGAAAGTCCAACGCGGCGCGAGGGGAACCATAACAGAACGAGATCTCCGGGTGTGAAGTGGACGTCACGATGGCGGGCGTCGTATACGCTCTTCTGATTGTCCTGGGAGTCGAGTAAGCGTCGTCGAGCAACTTGGCGTGCCGCTTGGGCCTTCATTATTGCATCACGAGCGTACTGAGACTTGTCATTAGTCCGGCCGGCAGGAGGGTGTCGAAAGGTAGCGCAGGGTCACGGCCGAACAACAGAAAAAAAGGAGAGAACCCAGCGGTGTCGTGTCTGGAAGAATTGTACGCGAATGTTACAAACGGTAACGTAGTGTCCCAGTCGCGGTGATCGGCGGAGACATACATGGAGAGCATGTCGGTGAGAGTGCGATTGAGGCGCTCCGTTAGACCATTTGTTTGTGGATGGTAAGCAGTCGAGAGCTTGTGTTTAGTGGCGCAGGAGCGGAGGAGGTCATCAACCACTTTGGAAAGGAAGTAGCTGCCTCGGTCGGTAAGGAGTTGTCGAGGGGCGCCATGATGTAAGATGACGTCCTCCAAAAGGAAATCGGCCACGTCAGTTGCACAGCTGGTTGGAAGGGCCCGTGTGATCGCGTATCGGGTAGCATAATCGGTTGCTACTGCAATCCACCGATTACCCGCAGCTGACGTAGGAAAAGGGCCAAGCAGGTCCACGCCAACACGGTAGAATGGGTCTTGTGGGATGTGCAGTGGCTGAAGACGTCCGGCCGGAGGGGCATTTGGTTTTTTCCGTCGTTGACAAGGGTCGCAGGCTGCAATATAACGGCAGACGTCGCGGTACATGCCAGGCCAGAAGAAGCGCCGGCGAACTCTGTCGTAGGTCCGTGACACGCCGAGGTGACCCGCTGTAGGTGCATCATGAAGCTGGGCGAGAACAGTGTGACGCAATTGAATGGGAACGACGAGTAGTCTTTCGGGGCCGTCAGGACGCATATTGCAACGGTACAATACACCATCATGTATTTCAAACATTCGAAGGGAAGGGTCGGGCCTCACCGATGTGAGCCTTCGGATAATACCGTCCAAGAAAGTATCTCGTCGCTGCTCGATTCCAATGTCATGAAACGCGGATAGAGAGAAAACGTCGATAGGAAGGGTGGTTTTAGAGGAGTCGCCGTCTGGAAGGTCGACAGGATACCGGGACAAGCAGTCCGCATCTTGATGCAGGCGGCCGGTTTTATACAGGACTGAGTAATCAAATTCTTGAAGGTGCAGCGCCCAACGGCCAAGACGGCCTGAAGGGTC